AAAAGATATACAGAAAAATAGAGAAGTGATATGATGAAAAAAAAATAAAAATATAAAAATATAAATTATTTCTCATATGCCAAACTTGACCTTACAATCATCATATCTAAAAGCTATCTATACCTTTCCAAAGCTAAAGTGCGCAAACGTAGATTAATTTTGAAAAAATGATTAAGAATTGACTTTTTATTTATTCTATTTTTATTTTGTGACCTTTTCTGTCATTAGCAACACTCCTACGGTTGATTGATATATCTACACCTGAGCCAAAGCTATAAAGCCTACGAGTATCAGAGAATTGAGTGATTGAAATGAGTAGTGAGTTTGTATTATGTGTTGTTTGTGTATAGTGTGGTCATGTTAGGCATCTTCAACCGTCAACCGTGTATTAATTTTTCAACAATAATATGTCTCTCTAAATTAAAGTGTAATAATGAGTTATAATGACATGAAAAGTCAAATAAAAAAAAAATTACAAGACACAAATATCACTATCATAGTGAGATCCACATCCTATTAAAGTTATTAAAACTCCTTCATTAGAGTTTTAAAATATTTTTTTTAATATTTTTATTAAATTTAAATAATTTTTTTTTGATATCAAGTGTTTCAACAAAGAGTTTTATAGTTTCATCAAATTATCGGTCGACCGGACGGACGACCGACCAGTCGATCGGCCAGTATAATTTTGTCACAAATTTTTTACCTTGAGGTGATCATTTGAGAAACATCCGAAAAAACATCCAGTCATGAAAATCTAATGACAATGAACAGTGATCTGATTAAAGGCACATCGATTCTCAATTTGATAAAATAAAAGTGAAATCTTAAATTTGATACATATTTGATGAAACTAACAGAGTAGAAAAAGAAGTTATTTTTTTTATTAAATTTAAATTTAATAAAAATTCTAAATAACCATTAGTGATGATCGGAGTTGAATGAAATTAATCAATGAAGTTATATAAAAAATTTCATTGTATAAAAAGTATTTTCGTTATTTTTGTTAAATAAGGATAAAATAGTCTTTAGGTTTTTAATTAAATTGGTAGTCATTTATTCTCGCGGAAAGATTTTATTTCTAAACACCTAGTTACCTCACTCCATACGCTTAATCAAATATTATTTTAATGACAATTATATCATAAATTAAAATTATTATAATAGACATTCACTTATGCTCATAATATTATATCCAAATATTCTCTATACATATCTTTTAAAAACAACAAAAAAATCTCAATGTACATTTTTGAGTAAAAAAAACTAAATCCTAATTTCTTCATTATTTGTTACCTTTTTAATTGTTTCTCACTTTGCTTGCTACACACTTTATACTCCTCTATTACTTGCAAAGCAATACTCTCAAGTAAAAATATGCTTGATAACAGTAAAAACAATAATGAAAATTTTAATTTCTTTCATGTAGAATTTTTTTTTTCACGATTAATTCAAAAAATCAGTGTCAAAATATTCTATTTTATTTGGAATTTCAGTTTCTATAAGCTACTATTAATGTAGCCGCAGAACTCTATAGGCTAATCTCGCAGTCAATCAGAGGCTGATACTTGGAACTTTCATTACAAAGCAAAACTACTGGAAAAAAAACTCTCCTACAGAAAAGATCCTCCTTTAATTGTTGCAGGCATTGACTCATCAAAGTATACATCTCGACGGATGATCACTTTTTTCGGTCATATATATTTTGAACTACCGTGTTGAACAAATCAATCTATTTTAAAAATTAAGTGTCAAATAAAAAATAAATTTTGAAAAACCAGTGCTGACTTTTCAAAATCACAACTTGTTAAGGAAAAAACGAGGGTTTATTTTAATTTATCAATGCACTCAACAGAGAAAATAAAATGGTACCAAATGCAATAATGATATCGAAACAGAGTAATAGCTAACTCCAATAGATTTCGGAACTAGAGTGTCGAATGCAGGAGGAGGGGCTTCAATGGAGTTAAGAGTACGATTGGAATAATTAGTGTGGAAAGAGGGTTGAAGTGGTGTGTACAAGATATGAGTTAAGAGTATGATTGGAATAATTAGTGTGAAATGAGAACAAAAATTAATAATCAAATTACTAAGTGTGTGCATTGAGAAAAGATATGCATTGAAATAACTAGGTGCGTAGAAATAAAGGTTGCGTTTGGTAGAATTTTGTAAATATGATTTGAGAGTATAAGTTATATTTTGAGTTTGTGAGTTGTGGAATTATGATTTGAGTGTAGAAAATTTGTTTGGTTATGGTTTTTGAATAGAGTGTTGAATTGAGTTTTGAATTGAGTGTGGAATTGAGTTTTGAAAGTTTGATTTGACATGTGAAGTAAGAAAATTTGTTTGGTTATAAGTTTTGGAAAGAGTTTTCAAAACTTAATTCAAATTGTTATAACTCATAACAAAACACATTACTTTCACACTATTGAAAATTCTGATCAACACTTATAACCAAACTCTTTTTAAAATTCAATTAAAAAAATTTACTATTAACAGAAAATAACATTAATCAATTTTTTAATTGAAAATACTACAAAGGAATAGGGATGGCAATTTGAACCCGGCCTGACGGGGACCCGATCCCCCAACCCCGATTTGAATGGTTTTTTCCCGAAAAATACCCCCGCGGGGACGGGGATGGTATTCGAAATTAAATCCCCGTTCAGTTTCGGGCCGGGGACGAGGATCAGTGTTCAAGCCCCGGCCCGTCCCCGTCCTCGTCCCCGGCCCCGAATTTTCCCCGAAGTAAAATTACCATTTTACCCCCTTATATATATAGAAAAAAATCAACCATTTTCCCCAAACACAACACAGCAGCAGCACCACTTCTCTCATCACCGATTCTGTCGTCTCTCTTTCTCTCTCTCTCTCTCTCTGTCTCTCTCTAAGACGCTCTCTGCCGATCTCTTCTCTCTCTCATCGAGTCAAAACCCTAAAACAAAACCCTCTTTGTCGCCACCACCGTGGTCTCCCTCCGAGAGCAGTACAAGCCCTTTGGATGCGATTCACCAAACCGATCAAACTCACCATGGTGGCCATCTTCTCAAAACCCCAGCAAATCTCAATTCAAAACCCTAGAAACTTCAACACGAAGAGCCACTCTCTTCTCTTTTCTCCTCTGTCCCTCTCGGTCTCACGCTTTCTCTCTCAGATTTGATCACACCCCGTGAATCACCAACAGATCTTGAATCACCACATCATCGATCGGCAACAGATCGTGAATCACTCTCGGAATCAGATCGTGAATCAGCCCTTAGATCATGATTCATGGAGTGAACCGTGAAGCTCTCTCTCTCTCTCTCTATATATATATATATATATTTTAGATGATGAACTTGTTGATGATGAAATTTTCTGAAATTTTCTGAAACGTTTCTGAACTTGTTGTTGTTGTTGATGATGAGTTGTATTTTCTGAAACTTTTTTCAGATGATGAACTACTTGTTGTTGATGATGAAATTTTTTGAAAATTTCTGAAACTTTTCTGAATTTTTTTTTTTTAGATCTGTTTTTAGATTATGAACTTCTTGTTGTTGTTGTTGTTGATGATGAGTTGTATTTTCTGAAACTTTTTTTAGATGATGAACTTGTTGTTGTTGATGATGAAATTTTCTGAAATTTTCTGAAACGTTTCTGAACTTGTTGTTGTTGTTGATGATGAGTTGTATTTTCTGAAACTTTTTTCAGATGATGAACTACTTGTTGTTGATGATGAAATTTTTTGAAAATTTCTGAAACTTTTCTGAATTTTTTTTTTTTAGATCTGTTTTTAGATTATGAACTTCTTGTTGTTGTTGTTGTTGATGATGAGTTGTATTTTCTGAAACTTTTTTCAGATGATGAACTACTTGTTGTTGATGATGAAATTTTTTGAAAATTTCTGAAACTTTTCTGAATTTTTTTTTTTTAGATCTGTTTTTAGATTATGAACTTCTTGTTGTTGTTGTTGTTGATGATGAGTTGTATTTTCTGAAACTTTTTTCAGATGATGAACTACTTGTTGTTGATGATGAAATTTTTTGAAAATTTCTGAAACTTTTCTGAATTTTTTTTTTTTAGATCTGTTTTTAGATTATGAACTTCTTGTTGTTGTTGTTGTTGATGATGAGTTGTATTTTCTGAAACTTTTTTCAGATGATGAACTACTTGTTGTTGATGATGAAATTTTTTGAAAATTTCTGAAACTTTTCTGAATTTTTTTTTTTTAGATCTGTTTTTAGATTATGAACTTGTTGTTGTTGTTGTTGTTGTTGATGATGAGTAGTATTTTCTGAAAGTTTTTTTAGATGATGAACTTCTTGTTGTTGATGATTACATTTTCTGAAATTTTTTTTTAGCCGATATTTAAATATTAAAATATTTAAAATCTTAACAAAATTAAAATATTTTTAAAATATTTAAATATTTAAAAAATTAAAATATTAATTTGAATTGAATTTTGAAAAGTGTTTTAAATTATGTGTTTGGTTATGAGTTTTGAAAAGTAATAATTATGTTTTGAATTGAGTTTTAAGAAAAAATATGTAGAATTATAATTTAAAAGTTTAAAACAAACGATACACTCAAATCAATAAGTAAAACTATAATTTGAGAAGTTTACCAAACAGAACCAAAATTTCCCATTCTTGTGCCATTGGATAAGGCAGGTTACATTTCATCCAATCAGTGAGAAAATTACTTTAACAAACAGTGATTATTCAACCTTTTGATACATAAATCACCAATAAACCCACCTATGATGTACCTCGTTTGGCATTTATTTTGAGAACTCTGTTTTCACCGCCCCAAAAAAAAAAGTTTGGCAAAATTGTTCTCGAAAACTGATTTTGAGAAAATTTGCCAAAAACAGATCGCATTACAAACTGTTTACTAAATTCTCAAACATCAAAATTATAAGAAAATGCAAATGACAGGAAAACAACTAGGTTGCAAGTCCCATTGTTTGATTCACACACACACACACACACACACACACACAAAAATTACAATAAAAACAATGAAAAAAAACCCATAAAGGCTCTAAAGCTTCTTGATTAATTTGAACTACTAGCAATAAAGCACATGAAGGACATAATGATACAGACTTGTATGTGAATAATGGTTACATAAAATGGAAATAAAGCACATGAAGCCGACAGAAGCAAACAAGAAGGTTCAACCAATCCCATGTAGATTTCAAAAGTGTTACTTGTAAATGTGTTTCCAAGCATATCATCTAAGGTAAGCAACACTTTATACTGACTAGGAAAGTCGACATCGTTCGTGTTAACAGTTCATTTTCATCAGTTTCTACCAACTCACGTGATCCCTTCTAGGTTTTTGTAACAAGTTTCTAGTTCAACCAAGCAATATGGTGTCAACTGGTGTCCATTTGTTGCCCATCTGGAATTTCTTGTTTGTCCTCAACACCAGCATTGTCAGACTCCGTTTGTGTTGGAGGAGCGGGCAATACCTCTGCCACCAACTCTACCAGTTCTTCAACACTATCTCCCAAACGCGATTCACATTCCTCTATAATCTGCAAAACAACGGAGAAATAACTGAAAAACAGATTTGCAGACGAGCCCCTCTTGTCCACCAGAAACATGTTTGCCACTTATTCACAGAAGCAAAAGAGTACGATGATTACATCAACTAGCATTGGCTAGATATTCATTCACACAGTTGATCATAATTACTTCTTATAAAAATACAATAGAACATATACACTTCATTAAAAAACTAAAAAGCAAAGCATCAAGAAAATACTGAGACTATAATTTTTTAACCATGTTTAGTGACGTGAAAGGAAATTGTAACAGCATTCTATAAGAATTACCGGGTCGATTTCAACCACAGAAGAGGGTCTAATGTTGACGATGTTGAGAATCTCGGCTTTCGCTAGGTTGTACTTTTTACATTTTTCCAGAAATTCTGTAATTCTCTCTCTCGTCTGATTGCAAGCAGCGCTCTGCTCCAAATAATCAAAAACCTACAATGCAATAAAAAACAACAAACCACATGAAGATTCCCAATACTCTATCCTAATAGAAACAAAAATAAGATTTTTTGCAGGTATGCAACTTTGAATTCTGATTGTGCAACAGAAACAATAATCCGTGTAGAATCCTTTGCAGCCCCTCTAGATCGTAAAAAATCAAGCACTTCGAAATTGGTAAGTGCGCCAGCATTGGCTCTTAGTCTGCAAAACATTCAATGAAACAAATTACAATCACCCAAAAAGTTCAAAGATGAAAACAAAATTTGTAGAGAGCCAGCTCATTATTACAAGAGAAATACATTAGCAGAACTAAAATCAATCGGTTCTAGGGGATGATCCATTTAAAGGTAATTACGTACATCTTCATCACCGAGGAAACAAAGATCAAGACCAACTAGCTTTGAAACATTATCAATCTCCAAATATCCACGAGAAGGAGTCAATTTGATACATACCTGCAAATTTGAATTGTGTATAATAAATGAATGCAAATCCAATGAACATACACTTATAGTCAAATAATATTTAAACAAAATGGTAATTCCATATAGTTTTGAAGATATAAAAGTAGCTGAACAACTTCAGAATTAGGTATTTGTGCTTGAAATTTATCCTAGATATGGACTGCAATGTTGTTAATATTTGGGAACTTAGAAGTAATAAAATTTTGAATGCTTTGATTAAACTCTAGGCAGATAAACAGACCTGTGTACAATACACTATAAGCCTATGTTTGGATATTGGATTTGTCAAGTAGAAGAAAATGCAAAGGAAATGAAATTGGTCATACATATTTAATTTTTTATTGGTAATTGAACAGAAAATAGTTTTTTTGACTAAATTTCAATTAATTTTTTTCTCACTCCCTAACCTAACCCAATTATAAAAAAATAAAAATAAAAACAGCTCTTTGACTTTATTTTCTTTATTTTTCAGTTCACGAGATTGAATGGCCAATTCTAATATAAAGGAAATGAAATTGATTTTCTTGACTATTTTACCTTCTTTTACTCCATTTTATTCAAACTCTCTCTCTCTGTCTCTCTCTCTCTCTCTCACACACACACACACACACACACACACCCACATTCGCACCGACACAATGACAAAAAGGCTGGCAGATTTTGGGGGTTTTGCTCGAAACTTGAAAATCAGCATTGAATGTTGTTGAAATTTCAACAAAATCGAAACAGAAACAAACATAAAAAGAAGTTCATGGAAGCCCTAATGGATTCAAGGCTCTTCAAAAAATGCTGTGTGTTCGGTTGATGGATTTGGGAAAGATTTAGAAAAGAGGTATATGGAAAACAACCTTCCAAACACACACATGTATATATGTGGAAAAGAATACAAGGAGAAGAGCGACGGGTCGGGCATACCTTAACGGTGGCGGAAGCAACCGTTGCAGGCGGCGGCGGCGAGTGGCGATATCTTTCAGTAGCTCTACCACACGCTGTCGTCTGGGTTAACACCAGTGTCTAGCCTAGCTTTCAAGATCAATTTAATTTATGTTAAATTACACTCAACCCCCTAGATGTCAAAAAATTATAAAACTCCTCAAATTTTTAATGAAAATTTATCACAACAATTTAGGGGGAAGTAAAATCTGATTCTAGGCCCTCCTTGATGAGATTCAGGAATCACATTTTCAAATATTCCCCTTGTTTGGTTTTAGAAAATTAAATTTACTTTTCAAAAAATTAAATTTTTTTATTTTTGGTATTATTTTTTATATTTTTAGTCAAAAATTTTAATATTTTTTAGATACACTTAAAAATGATAATATTTATGAAAAAAATCTTTAAAATTTTATCAAATACAAAAATAAATAAATAAATAAATCAATACATTTTCGTATTCTTATATATTTATTAAATTTCAAAAATATTTTTCACAAATATTTTACTTTTTAAGTGCATTTAGAAAGGGACCTTAGACATCATGAAAATATTTGATGTCCTTTATACTATAAAATCATAATATCAGGGACCTTAAAAAAAATACCCCAAAATTTAATTAAAAATTTTAAAAAATTTACTAAAAATAAAAAAAAATCAATTTTCAAAAAATCAATCAAAACCAAACAATTAATTTCACTTTTAATAGGATTTTGTTTATTATTTTACACTTAATCTAACAAACAAACAAAAAGCTTACAAATTTAGGACAAAGCCAGCCTAAGACTCCTGGGTACTCAAAGTAAAATCTCAAATGAGATTTTTTTATATTTAAATAATACTTACTAGTTTGTTTTTTTTACATTGTACCATTTTAAAAAAAAAATTAAAACTCATATATATATATATATATTCTTATAATTAAGATGAGTGTTATAGACTTTATTTATTGGTTTTATTTTGTCACACTTTTAGATTAAATAAAATAAAATAAAACTTCTTGCTCGGCTTTCGGACAAAGGATGTGTGATAATTTAAATATCTTGGCAGACTAATAAGGACAATTTTTTTTTTTCTTCTCATGAAGTATCCTAAACCAATTCACAAGAGATAACAAAGCTTCTTTGATCATCACTCCAATTCTGCAACAACTAGAAACTGGGAACAGCGCAAATGCCCCTCAAAAATCAAATCATTCAATAGTCTAAAATTATCATCGGAGCATGTGCACATGGTGTTCCTATTCAATGAGAATGTATTAAAAAAAAATTAATAGAATTGACTTTATCTTTCACTCAACTGATTAGGATGAGTTAAGTCGACTCCACCCATCTTGTGACTACTGCTCTTATTAGTCTAAGAACACCATGTGAACGTGTTGAACTGATAACTTGAGACATTTGAATTCCCAAAAATAAGTAACTACATGAGAATTTAATGCTTGGTAGTGTAAATTCACCATAGACATTAAAAAGTAATCACAATTTCTATTCACCATTGAAAGCTACTGGTCTCCAAAGTTTGTGCTCAGTTTTATTTCTATTCACCAGTGAAAGTTTTAATTTGAATAAGTTTGGGACTAATACAATTAAAATATAGAGGATCAAAATAACATAGTGCATATTTTCAAAACCATATTTAACCCTTGACAGCTACAAGTGCAACAAGCAGCAGAGAAAATGAGTGTGATATAGTCCCCAGCAGCCCAACTTCTTCCCATCAGGTTTCATTGACAAACTAGCAAGATCTCCATCTCCAAGCTCCAAGCATAACAAGTTTTCTCTGCTTACTATCGAAGTGCTATATAATTTCACTCAAGAAAATCAAATTTTTGAAACTCCACAGGTGCCACCTCATGCCCAAATCTGATACCCACCAAGCAGCTTGAATCACCTTCCAAATAAGCTTTCATGAAAGCAACCATAACCCCTCCAACAAACCTCCTCATGGGCTCTCTAGACTTGCCATTTTTACACAAACAATAACTTGTCTTCCCTCTTATCCCCTTGGTCTCATCATCTAACATGTCAACATGACCATAGTCCTTAGCAACAAAATAACAAGCTGGTTCGCAACATTCCTTGTAAAAATCTTCGTGGTTGATTCCCTTAGGAGCACAAGGAGGGAACAAAGGGTTCTTTTTCACTTCACCTAAACCCGAGCCAATCACCAAAACCGCCATGTCAAGATTAAAGGAATGAGGTATGTAAGTGAGGACTGGTGGGGGGGTTTGTTTCCCTTTGTCCATGCCATCAACAGGGTCTATGCCTATTAGGGCTGAAAATTTTAAGGATGGAGTTGTTACTTTGCCTAGAGCTAGCGCGAAAGCAGCCTTGCCTCCGCGACTATGGCCTGACAGTCCAATTTTGGTTAGGTTTGGTTGAACATGGGTTGGAAGCACCTTGTGGAGTCCTGATGGTAGCCAGTCTGTTATTGCAGCCGCGGACTTGATTTCATCGGTTGAGTCTGGTCCAGCCACTGTATATAACTGTTGCAGTGCACAAAAAGAAATTGTTATGACAAATGTTTAGCTGATTTTGCACAAATTTGATGGACTAAAATTTGAAACCAGGGCAGAGTCAGGATTTTTGTCAGGGGAATTCTTACTACAAGTTTAGAACTATATACGATTATTTTTTTCTTAATTGAAAATTGAAAGAAGTAAATATTTTGGAGTGAGATAATAGAAACTAAAAACACAATTCAACATATGTAAACACAAATCAGCAAATAAGTAAACTCAATAGTTCAGTCCCTAAATATAATTTACAAAATTAAACCTGCAAAGTGAGTGGAACAGGATGCAGCCAGCAGAATAGATAAATATCTGCTAAGTATGTTTTTAAACAACGTGGAGAAAAAAAAGAAAAAAATACCATGACAGGAAACAAGAAAATGCAGTAACAAAATATCAAAAAGAAAGGGGCTTGCATAGGTCATTCCTATCCTATTTTGATTTAAGTAAGTTCAGAGAAGTGGATGTTTTTAGCATATAATAAGATGGACCATCTGATTTTTTACTTCGCTTCATTTGATAACTTGCCCTTTACAGGGAAACACAAAATTTTATCCTAATTCTCTTCTACCAGTTGTAAAAAGAAAAAAATAAAATTTATGAAGTGCCATGAAAAACCCTATGAAATTCATATTTTATCATGATCTGTGTGGGACATGAAAGACAATAAACTTGAAAGCCAAAAACATATTATAAATCAGAGCCTTAGGCCTCTGTGCATTGCCATGACAAAATTGATGTAATTGGGTTATAGAATTATTATAGGATTGAAAGGTTGGAAACAAGGAACATGAATTTCTTTGTAACATATCACAGAAAAGCTTTATAATCGATTCATAAATCAATAAAAAAAAAGAGAGTTTAGATTGTGTCAAAGAGAGAAAAGAACTAACCTGAGGAGCAATGACGATGAATCCGTGGGAAGCGATATGTCGGATGAGCTGAGAGTAGAAAGAGTTGTAGAGAAGATAGCCATGAAGCAAGAGCAGAAGAGGGAATTCACCAGCTGCATCTGGTGTGGCAATCAAAAGGGGCTTTGGAGGGGGAAGAGATAGTGAAGACTTGGTGGTGCAAGTGTTTGGTTCAGCACTCAGAAGAAGAGTTGTGTACTTTCCAACATCAAAGACATTTGTAGTAGTTGGAGTGGTAATAGTAGGAGTAGAAGAGGGTGAAGATGAGGAAGGAGACATGACTTTGGCAACAATCTATGAGAACTTTTTCTATCTTTTGTATGCTCTTTTTTCTTTGCCTTGGGATAAGTTTAGTTTGGTTGTGTGGCCTCTATAGGACCACCCACACTCACCCTTGTTGAGTAACAAATGCTGTGTTGTCTTTACTAGTGGGAAATTAAGAAAGATGTGCTAGATATTTTAGACCCTGTACCCACATACCATCACTATTGATACTTGTCATTGTTATTATCAGAGTCCAACGGTTCCGCTACATGGTGCCGTTAACTCGAAATTTCAAAGCTCGAAATTTGGCCGAATTTAAAACAACGTTGTTTTATTTTATTTTTTCTTTTTTTCTTTCCTTTTTCTTTTTTTGTTCTTTCTTTCTCCTTTTTTTTTTTTTTTTTTTTGAAGAAGAAGAAGAAAAAAAGAGAAGAGGGAGCAGCTGGTGAACACTTAGGAAGCACGGATACAGATACGGGATACGGATACGATACGATACGGATACAGCGATACGATAAAATTTGAAAAACTAGGATACGGGTACGGCGAGGATACGTTCGTAAAAAATATTATTTTAACAATTTTTAGTAATGCAGTATGTATAAAAATAAAACCTAAAGCAAAATACAACTTGATAAAAAAGAAAGATTTTTATAAAACTAAGAGTCTTCAAGGTCAATAGCTTCAACTTGTTCCTCTTCATCAGTGAATATCACAAGACCTTAGCTAAAGCCAAAAAATCATTCTTAAATAAAAATTTCAGCAAACATACTTTTTTAAGTCATCAATGATGGCCTAGGAAGCACGAATACAGATATGGTGATATGGGAATGTGGATATAGCGATATGTCAAAACTTGAAAAAGTATGATACGGGTACAGCGGTGATACATTCGTAAAAATTTTTTTTTTGATAATTTTAATAATATAATATGCATGAAAATAAAACTTAAGTGAATTAATAAATAAAGAGAGATTTCTATTAACCTAAAAGTGCTCAAACATTCATAAAATATCCAAAACTAAAAGCAAAAGCAAATGCAAATTAAATATCATCCTTACATGCCAACATCAAAAAAAGAATGAGAGCAGAGAGAAGAAACGTGAGAGAGTGAGAAAGCGAGAGAGAAGTGAGAGAGACAACAAGGATACATCAATTTGACATTCTATTACTTTAACTCTCACTATATTCATCTTATCAAAGAACTAAACAAAATATTATAAGTAATATATAACTTCGAGTATCCGATACTTCAAAATTAAGTATCCGATACATATCCGCGAGTATCCGAGGAGTATCGGTATCCGATAAGTATCCGATACGGATACGTCACTCTTTTTGAAGTATCCGTGCTTCATAGGTGAACACATTAAGATGATGAACAAATCTGATTTGTAATAAAAAAATTTATGTAACAGATTTGATTTGTTTATGTGAGATGAAGTTAAAACAAAAATTATGAATTAAAATTATGAAACAAATCTGATCTGTTTATGTGATCTGATCTGATCTGTTTACTCTTCATAATTTTAAACTTGTGATCTCTGTCCATTAAGAAGATGATGATGAATAGATCAGATCAGATCAGATCTGTTCTTTTTTTTTTTGGGTTGATTTTCAAAATTTTTTTTGAAATAATAATAATCAACAACAACATCTTCATCAACATCATCACCATCAACACATGATCATCGGCGGACATTTTCATCAACAACAACATCTTCTTTAACAACATCACCATGAACACATCATCATCGCCATTAACATGTTCCTTCTCCGCTATCACCGTCTTCCTCTCTTCCTCCTTCTCTGGGTTTGGTTCAACCTTTGAGAGAAAAACAAGAGGTGGAAGGGAAAGAAAAAAAAAAAAAAAAAAAAATCAAAATCAAGACGACGTCGTTTCCAAAAATCGAGCCTTTCGGGACAAAATGTTTCACATGATTATAGTTGTTAAGAATTTTACACAAGAAAGTTTTTTAAAAAAAAGTTCTGAAAAAGTATATTAATGTAACGTAAAGTAAAAGAAAAATTATTTTCTCGTGCTTGTTCACTTGGCAACGTAATTTTTCAAGAAAATTATTTGATAGTATGTGAATGTTTGAGAAGTTGTTATTTTAGTAAGTTATTTCAGTTTTTGACTATTTTAGTATGTTGACTTTTTTTGTTCGAAAAAATGATTGAATTTTTTTGTAGTTGAATATGATGTTTATGAGAAAAAAAGAAAAATAATTATGATTTGATGTGACATTTTATCTTGTTAATTATTTTAACCTATTTAATTTTATTTATTTTATAAATTTTAACTCAAAAAGTAAAAAAATAACCTTCACCAAACAAGGCCTATATTTCAAGATTTTTCATTTTTGGGGAGCACCACGTATTAAACGTAGTACCTAATAATTTTTCCAATTTTATATATTCCCTCAAAAGCATGCCAGAACATAGTCCCAGCACTATCTAAAAAAAAAAATCCTAGTCCCAGTTGAGCTTGGGCTGAGCCCACCAAGTCCGGCCAGTTTTTTAAACCCTGTTCTCGGCCTTACCAGTGGACCTAAGTAATGGGCTTGGGCTGGAACAGCCATACCTATATTAAAAAAATATGGGCCAGCCCAGTCAAGCCGAACGGGCTTCAAATATCTCAGTTTAGACTCTATGATTTGAATCCCCTCTACGACGTCGTAACTTGGCATGATTTGAAAAAGGGAATTACACACCATCAAAAATCACATCCAAAGTTCATAGGCACTCCACCTTATTAAAATGGCTCAATTATTTTTCTCAAATAATAAATTAAAAATTAATATTTAAATAATAATTAATAAGTATATAGACTATCTCTACAGTTATGTTAATCTCGACAAAGTCACATTCATATTAAATTGAATTAAATTACAATAAATTATTAACAATTTACAGATACTAAATATAAGTAATTAAATTAGAGACTTTTTTTTTATGATGACGTAAGCGTAACTTATTTCAGTTAAATTTGATTTTTGGAACTAGAATGAAAGGCCATTTTGGTTATCCAAGGAAGCTCAATGTCAAATGAATGTTTTCCATGAAACTGATTTCTACAAGCTTCTGTTTTGATCCAAAACAAGCTATAATCCAATACCAAAAACACCATTGTAGTGTGTTTTCAATATTTCAATCTTAGGAAACTTTTTATTGGGTTTATCATATTATATTCATTGAGGTAAAACCACCTCTTTTACCATGTACATGCTTGGCTTTATTGGATCCAATGTACCACACTACACCCACATGATAATATAGCCGGATGGTCATTTTCCGAACTTCAAACTCCATCTTATTATACTAGAGATGTTAAAAATAATGTTAAAAGTTATTGTTAGTATTGCAAAATATGTATAAAATGTATGGAAATATATAAAAAATAAAATAATTATAACTTTCTTTTACTCATTTATGCTATGTGTACATTACGGATATTAAATTTATCAAAGTGAAAGAAAATGAATTAGAAACGAAACTATTAATACATATTCATGTCAGTAATGAAATTAAATCTATTTGCAACGTGCGAGAGGCAGAGACAGAAGAGGTTGAGGACGAGGACATGGAAGTCCTGGATGACGTTCGCAAAGAGTTGACCAACAAAAGCGAGGAAGCCTTGAAGAAAATTCTAGTCCAACAAGGGGATAAAGAGCGCTTCTTCCTCTTCGGCTTAGGCTTGGCCGAGAAAGAGGAAAGGGAGTTAGAAGCGTTCTTGCGAGCAAACATAGAGGTGTTTGCCTGGACGCCATACGAGATGCCTAGCATTGATCCCGAGGTTACATGCCACAGACTGAACGTAGACAGGTCGGCAGAACCCGTCATTCAGCGAGCAAGGAGGCCAACATTGGTTCATGTGGAGGCAGTAGAGGAGGAAGTGGACAAGTTATTAGAGGCCAAAGCCATCCGAGAGGTAAACTACCCTACCTGGCTGTCTAACACTGTGGTTGTGAAAAAGAAGAACGGAAAGTGGAGGGTTTGCATGGACTTTACTAGCCTGAATAAGGCTTGTCCCAAAGACAAATTCCCACTCCCTAAGATTGATTAATTAGTGGATGCCACTTAAGAACATGGAAGGATGAGCTTCCTAGACGCTTATAGGGGATACTATCAGATAGTAATGTACCCCCCTGATGAGGAGAAGACTGTATTTATCACCCCAAAAGGGCTGTATTGCTACAGATTGATGCCTTTCGGGTTGAAAAATGCGGGAGCAACGTACCAGAGGTTGGTGACCAAGATGTTCAGACATCAGATTGGCAAAACAGTGGAAGCATACATCGACGACATGGTTGTGAAGACCAAGGAACCTGAGGATCATCTAGCCGACTTAAAGGCAATCTTTGACATCCTAAAAACATATCGGCTCTGACTCAATGCTTTAAAATGTACATTTGGAGTTGGTTCTAGTAAGTTCTTCGGGTACTTGGTTACCATAAGGGGCATTGAGGCAAGCCCAGATCAAATCAAGGTCATCTTGGATTTGAAAAGCCCAGAGTCAGCAAAACAAGTGCAGATGTTGACAGGAAGGACCGCGGCCCTGAACAAATTCATAAGCAGAAGTTCAGGTAAGTGTAAACTATTTTCCAGTCTACTTTTTGTGGACAGAGGAATGTGAAGTCGCCTTGGCTGACTTGAAAAAATACCTGACCACAGCTCTAGGTTCTCTCGAATCCAGTACTTGGAGAGGAGTTATTCTTGTACTTGGCGGTTTTAGAGCATGCAGTGAGTGCAGTGATAATTAGAGAAGAGAAAGGAGAATAAAGGGCAGTATACTTATACTGTGTAAGTAAAATCCTAGCAGGCGCAGAAACCAGGTATTTACCCCTGGAGAAATTAACACTGGCTTTAATGATAGCCTCCAAGAAGTTGAACCATTATTTCCAGGCCCACAAGATTGTGGTATTGACTGAGCACCCCTTGAAGTCCCTACTACAGCAAGGAGATCTAACAAGCAGGGTGGTGTAAACACCTCATTTTTGACCGTGCTCAAAACTCGGACATCACCGTTTGAACACTCGGTGATCATCCATGTTCGTGTTCGTTTTGAGATCCCGAAGGACTCGGCTGCACGTCTTGCCTTAGGATCTCTCGACTTGACTGTTTTGTGCTTGGTTGTGGACCAAGAA